CCTCCTCTACACACCGCGTTCGACATCTACAATTCTCCTGATTCTCCAGTGGACGCGCATGTGGCGTCGCGCTTCGAGAACATTCAACAGCTGACAGTGCATGCGCCGTCGTGCTGTATATATACTCAAGGTCGGCGCTCGCTCGCTCAGTTGCCGCTCGTCGGTTGGTTTGTACGGCGCGTCGACGTCCAAGGTCGCGGTGAAATGAATTCCAACGAATCCACAAACACAATGATCGACGTCCCTTCGACCAGCGCCGCCCTTTCGCATACGTGTGTACGTGTTCACTCATTTAACACCCCCTCCTACAACCACGTTAACCAATTTAGCCATCGACCCAAGTAAGTCGCAATTTAACACCCCATTTCACAACCACGTTAACCAATTTAGCCATCGACCCAAGTAAGTCGCACTTTAACACCCCGCTAACCAATTATTTGGTCCGCATCCTCCTCAGTGTTCCCCCGAGGGAAGCTGCGGGCAATTTTTTTTTCCACGTCTTTTATTCGGCCCAATCAAGCCGCAGCAGCTGCGAGAGCGGGAGCGTTGGTTCTCCTAAAACGTGAACGAAACACAGGCTTTCAGCCGCGTTCGCGGCGTAACTAAGCCCCCACCCTCTGACGTCACTGCGGCAGCCTTTAAGCCTTGAAATTTAGTCGGCGTTGGCTAAACCAACACCATCTAGAAATTTTCTAGATGGTGTTGGCTAAACTCGTTTCTCTCGCTAGCCCCGCCACCGGCATGTGTATTCGGGTCTGTTGCGCGCGCGACCGCTGCGACGCGCGCGCAATTTAAACCGCTCGCTGGCAGGCAGCCAGCGGGCACAAGCCTGCTACGTGTTTCTCGCGCGCGCCGATCGTCTTCGTCGTGCCGCGGGGGCGTAGCGCAACCGCTCGCTTTGAGCGGGGACCACGGGGGTCTTCGACCTCCGGTCACTATGGTGAAGCCACTTCTCCGTGTGCCCTGACCTCGTCAGCGGCACTAAAGAGTGGCCCCCTTGCCTGGGAAAGGTACCGGCCATCTCGCGGCGTGGGGCCGCGAGATATGTCGCGTCCGCACGGTGCTTTGCGCGCCGCGTGGATGCGGCACCCTTGTCTGGGTAGGGCCGTTCAACCAAAACAAAAAAAGACCCGTCCTCTAACCAAGGGCGGGACCCTTACCGGGTTGAACGTAACTGGATGATGAAGGGTTGATGAGTGACATGTACTCTGGGACGCGGCGCTTTCGGGTGCCAACTCCCCTACCTTTCTGACAAAGGTGAGGTGCGGGCATTGCACTGCGCCCCTGCTGACCTCTGCCACTACCCCAAACTGGGGCAGATGGGGCATGCAATTTTGGGTAGCGGGGGACTGCGTTCGCGCTATCCCCCTAATAATAAATCGAAAGAAAGTTATAAAAATGTTTAAGAAAACATTATTTCACCTTGCTTAATTAGGTTATGGCCTTTGTTCAGTTTAGTTCTCCACGCGGTGATCATTTCTGAAAGCGTGCGGTTCATTCTTTCTCCGGCATTCGTTCCGAAAACCAGCAACAGCCTTCCGGTGCGGAAGACAACCAAGTTTCTTTGAGACAATGAACTTTGTGTCGTGCCGTCAGATAAGGAAGGTGGTTTCGCCGTTCTTCCTAATTGCTAGTACCTAGAAAAGGCGGTCACAGCTATCGACTCTGTTTTCAAATGTTGTACCGACATTCGTCTAGATAGAGTAAAAACGCAGGCCAAGGAAATGTGTCGTAAACTAGAGTTAAAACAGTTAGCACAGCATATCAGCAAAAGTGACAAAAATGGGCTCAGCATGAGTTTTTTCTGCCAAAACACATAAAGTTGACATGCCCTTCCGTGTCATTGTGACAGAAAGTGGTACGTGGCAAAAGCAACTCGGCTTGTTTATTCAGACCCACCTAAAGTGTCTAAAAATTGATGACCCATTTTCGATCAAAAACTCGCAGGCTCTGACAGAATTTTTCAAACTGTCAAATCAATCTAATCTTTTCGGTTTTTCAATTGACATAAAGGGCCTATACTACTCTCTCTGCCTCACGATGAGGTATTAGAATGTATAAGGGATAACATAGAAATTTTTGGGGAATTGAACTTCCAATTAAAAACTGGCATCAGTGCACGAGATTTTCTTCACCTGGTTTTGCTGTACCTTACCTCTACTTTTGTTCAATGGAATGATTGCATTTATCTGCAGAAAAAGGGTGTTTCAATCGGCTCATGCATAGCACCTCTACTCGGTGATCTTCTATTGGCAAAAATGGGCAAAAAACTGCAGGAAAAGTTAGAAGGCTTGCATGCCGTAAAGGTATTCAGATACGTGGATGATTTCTTCGTTCTTCTAAATTGTAATTCTTCTATGTTCCACTCGTTTGCGATTCAAACGATAGGTGTGTTTGAAGATTGTTTAAAGCCTCTTGTGTTCACACATGAAATGCCCAAGAATGACAAGTTACGCTTTTTGGATTTAAGACTGGTTTTTAGCTAAGAGCGCATCTGTTGGTGTTATGAACCACGTGCGCAGAAACCTCTACTTTTTTTTCTTCTGCTCACAGCAAGTTAGTTAAGCGAGGCACAGCACGAACCTGTGTTGAGAATGCCTTAAATAGGTCGTGCGTCCACAACATTTCTGTGACATTCAAAGCTCAAGTTTCCCGGCTTAAGGCTTCGGGTTTCTCTGAGGCGTTTATCGCTTTCATTGCTGAGACTATCTTGCGGACTAATAAGGCAGAGCAGAGGCAGCGGCAGAATCCGAGCAACACGGATACAGAACGTGAAAGGATGGCCGTGATTCCATACAAACACCAGATATCACACAGGCTCAAGAAAATTGGAAAACGCGTTAAAGTTCGTGTCCTGTTCTCGGCGCCGTTCAAATTAATCAGCCTCACCAAATCTACAAACCCCCTGAAAACGCAGTCATCAACGGAATGCAGAGTTCAACATAAAAACAGGTACGTGACATGCTCCCAGGAAGTTGTCTATAGGACCCTCTTTTCATGCGGTGCTTGTTATGTCGGAACGACCGGAAGGTGTCTGAACGATCGGCTGAGCGAACACGCTAACAATGTTAGAAACGGGAAAGATGGTTTTCTTGCTCAGCAATGCACTAAGTTCAAGTGTGTGCCCCTTTTCAAGGACACAGCAACGCTGTACAAGCACAGAGACGAACACACCCGAGTCATTGTCGAGGCCGCGCAGATGGCACGCGAACAGGTGCCTTGTATTAGCAAGCCCTCGGTGGCTCTGTCCGAGAAGAAACTCAGGTTCCTTGAAGGTTTCGGTGAGCGCAAGTAGTTATATTATCTTTACTTTTCTGTTTCGTTTTCTTATAGATATTTTTTGCCGTTTTTCTGTGCTTTTGTCTTTTTGTTTTTTTTTTCTCTTACTCATGTTCTGCTCTTTGTGCCATATGGTTTTTGTCACATGGTTACTGTCTCCTCTATGTATTTTCGTGCTCTGCGCAATAAACTCAGTTGGAAGTTAGCGCTCGTGTCTTTCTTGTCTCTCTGTCGTCGTTTTGTTCCCGCGCTATAACTATCGTCATGCCATACCAACTAGCCCAAGCTGCCACACTCCGAAGACGAAGCCTGGCTTTTCTCTCTCCCTGCGACTCACTCTCCATATCTTCCGACAATTCCCACCGAGCTGCCTGCCCCATCTATATACCCGGGTCTATTTGTCTTTAGGCAAGGGCTGTTAATACCTGAGGCAGATAGAGGAAATCAGTTGCATATGGCTGACAACCACCTTGTGCACTAGGGAAATGTTTTTTGTCATTACCTAATGTGTTAACTAGAATTACATGGCTAAATATTAGTTTTAAACGAGAAACGGGACTTAAAATGTTCGAGAGCATTTTCAGAAACCCCCATTGCATTATATGCGATAAAGGAAGCCTTACACATACAATTTTTTCCTTGCTGCAGACAAAGTGTGCAGAGCTTTCATTCGGATTTCAGACTGGGAGCTTTGGTGAATGGGATAATGGCTCATCTTATGCTTCACTATTGTATTTTGGTGTCAAGCAGACTGTTTGTGAGCGCTTAGCTAATTGCAGTTAAGGAGGACCGAGGAAAGCTTTTCAACATATTAGCACTTCAAAATAGCCACAATGATGTCAATTCACTTCATGTACAGTCACAAGTGATATGAAAGGGAACTTAATGATGATTGTGCTTAGGCAATGATTACTCGTAACGAGAAGACAAGACTGCTACACTGGTTTGCAAGGGACACCTTTCCGCTTGAATGATCAGTGCTATGCTTTATGCTTGCTTTCTGCAAAAGCGTGGCCTTTTGGAAGGCAATTTCAGCGTTTCCTTTCACATTGCTTATGGGTGTATGTATTATGAAGCCAGCACTGGAAACGTTTAGCTTAATATACAGCACAATCTCAGTGAATGGAGTCATTTATACATTTAGTTTTTTATACAGGTGCTGCACCCACTACACATAATTTTCTTTTTACGAAATATGCAGTTAAATGCTGGCATATAGACACAATTACTTCAAGTTCCAATTAGATCCTACTGTAGTAGCAGTTTTAGGCATGCCCGGAAGAAAAACTTTTTAAGAGAACCAGGGTAGGGGCCACTTGGTTGAACATAGCAAGAATTTTCAGCTTGCTACAAGGAAACAGAGTGACGAATATTGAACGACTAGGGACAACCCAAGTGCATTGTCCCACGTCGCTTTGTTTCCCTGTAGTGCAGTGAAAGCTCTTACTATGTATAAAAATTTCTTCAGCTGTTGTGCAACTCGCATGTGTCCAAAAATAATGTATTATTCACTTAGTGCCCATTGCATACAGTGTACCTTCATATAAGTCACAATTTTATATAAGTGCTGTAAGTACTCGCAAGGTAAGCGCCATTATCTATCACAGATAATTTTTTTAATCTGCGTCAGAAAAACCCATAAACGGGACGATGCAGTGGAAAAGCTGTGTGCATCAGTGCGTGTTTGCAAAAAAAAAAAAGGTACTGAATAAAGAAGCATGTTTAAGATCTCGATGCAGTAGTAAAATTTTTTATTGCATCACCGAAAACACAACCACAACACCAAAAAGTAAATGATCAAGTAGAAAAGCAAGGCCATCAATCACAGCAGAAAATTTTAAATAATGTGGAACCAGACTGTCCCTTTGCTATTACTTTACAATCTATGCGATTGGTCAAGAGACTTTGGCAAAAAGGAAGTCGTAGTCGTTGGCCGTCAGGCGCCTCCGTGCAACGACAGATTCCGCGAAGCTGCTGCTTGTGCTTCTGCAGTTCCAGAATACGCTCCTCAATGGTGTCTGCACAAATGAGCCTGGAGATAACAAAAATTGGCTTGGTCAGCGATTGCGTTCCCGCTGCGATATCTCTTCCTTAAAGCTTGTTTATTTACAAGATGATAAAAGTATTCACAGTAAACGTAGTGTGCCTGTCTCGATCTTCCTTGCTGTGGTAGTTGTGTGCCTGTCTCGACCTTCCTTGAATGTGGTAGTTGAATTAACAAACATGACTGCAATAAGAATACACAGAAGAAAGCTAAAAAGAAAAAGAATTGTACAGATTTGAAGATGTGCAATAAAGAAAAACACATAAGAGATAAAACTGAATCAGTTTAGCTAAATTAGGGTTTCCGATTGACACAACAGGTAGTTTACCAGAAGAAAATGAAAGCCAGTTTCTTTTTTTAACTTTGAGCTAACCCACAAGTCAAGTATATCAATATTTTGTCATGCATTTCGAAGTATTTCTTTTTTTTGTGTTTAGACTATTATGGTAAAAGCTAGTGAAAATTCCCAAGTTCAGTCTTTCATGCTTTTGTCCGAAACTATGCAGTCATGTTTTGTCACAAAACTATCACTAGGGCCACAAAAAGTCGAGAAAAATGTATGATGCCACAGCAAACTTGGTTGGGTATCAGCAAGGTTGCTCCATCATTTTTTTTCTTTGCCTTAATTTGGCTTATCAAGCAACTTCTTTCACTAAGAGTTCCTTTTTAAGCATTGCACCACTACGTTTTACTAACACGGCTGAAAAATTTTTTCTCTTTGGGGTTTTGGTGGACACAATGGGAAAATGAATGTTATCACGTTAAAACATTTTTCAGTATAAGTAATCAATGGTTGTTTCCAAGAAAGCCAATCCTGAAACTGAAATTTCTTCTATCACAAGAAAAAGTGGGACCCATATGCTACACTTAGGCCACTTTTATCAAGTGTGACTCGATTGTCCCGCTGTCCACTTGATCCATTATGGTGTAAATGTAGCGCGAAAAAAAAAGACAAGGACAAGAAAGTGTACGCCACAACTTTACGCCGTAATGGATCAGTTAATGGACCAGATTTACGCCGTAATGGATCAGTACCAGCTCGCTCGCCTCTCTGTAATGCTTCACTTGAGACAGTTTACGTGTTTTTTGCAGTTTACGTGTTTTTTGCAGTTTGCGCATAGCAGAATGTTACACACAATGCACATGTACTTCGTGTGCCCCTCTTTTATTGCTACTCGAGTACCAGCGGCATTGCTGTCACGTGCGAGTAAAGTTCATGTGGCGAGTGTACCCGGAGAACCGATGCTCCACTTGAAACACCAGTCATCGCATCAACACTATATTTGCTAGGGTTTTCTGGCTAGCTCCAAGAAAGCTCAAGTGCTTCCAAAACAGTACGATAGATGCCTATTATCATTAGAAAATGCATCGGGGCTTGTGGTGTGAGGAAGCAGCGGAGCTGGCAGCATTGCCCTCCTCCTTTCCCTTCTGTCTCTCGATTCCCTTTTCCAGCCCTCGCTATGATATGCAACACACAGCTGTGATTTCTCTATCTTTTAAATGGGAAGCATTTCTTAGCGAACTTTGGCAACCTTGAGCGACCTTGAGCGCATCCATCCATCCATCCGTCCATCCGTGCGTCTATCCGTGCGTCCGTCTCTATCTATCTATCTATCTATCTATCTATAAATCAATCAATCAATCAATCAATCAGTCAATCAATCTATCTATCTATCTAGCCGCCTATAACCTTTAGCTCGCCTGGCCGTTTCAATAATGGTGTCGATACCAAACTTGCTATGACATAACATGACTGTATGAAGAGCATATCTGACTAGTCATGGCATGAAAATCATGATAAGTATGTCATGAATGTCATGATTTACATTTCATGGTCCTGCAACTCTTGCGGTGGTTTCGTTTACATGGCATGCTGCAAAACTTGTATGGCTATGGCATGAATGCATGGCAAACACAAGCGACAGACCCTAACATGAAAATTATGACAGGCATGTCATGTAACAACGTGACTACTTTCCATGCTCATGATGCGCTCGTGGCCGTTTTGCTAGAGTCACATATACCAAATTTGGTATTACAGCACGTGAATGGATGACGAAGCTATGTGACTGGTGCGAACATGATAATCACGAGATGCACGTCATGTAACAACATGATTACATGCCAGGCTCATGATGCGCTGGAGGCCGTTTGATATTACGGGACGTGAATGAATGATGAAGGTATGATACTGGTGCAAACATGATAAGCATGAGGTGCGTGTCATGTAACAACATGACTACATGCTACGCTCAGGCTGCGCTCGCGGCCGTTTGGCTAGCTAGCTACACTTGTACCAAACTCGATATTACGCGACGCGAACGAATGACATAGGTAAATGACACATCGAAACAAGATAATCATGACATGGGTGTCCTGTAACAACATGACTGCATGCCACACTGATAATGCGCTCAGCGGCCGTTTCGCTAGCTTTACATATACCAAATATGATATTACCTGACGCTAATGGATGACAAAAGTATGTGACCGGTGCAAACATGATAATAATGTAATGCGTGTCATGTGAGAACATGACTACATACACAGTAAAGGCGCCAATACATTTCGACGTGACGCGGTGCGTGTGCTCGCCAGCATTAATTTCGTCGTGTCACGCCGGCGTTGCCACCCCAGGCGCCCCATACACTCGCAGGCACGCGCCGCGCTGCATTTCTTTGACGCATGCGCATTTCAGCACGTTTGGCGTCCCTCCGCCACGAAAAGAGAGAGACGCGGTGTTGTCTTATTAACGCATCGGTGCAAAATGCAGCATATCGCATTTTGCCGACGGGCGCTGGTCGCGCCTGGCGTCAGACTATAGAGTGCTCATGTTTTGCTAACATTTCATCGCTGTGCCCAGCGTGCACACGCGTCACCGCTACATTGAAGTATTTTGGGCCCTTCATGATGCACTCGCTGCCGTTTTGCTAGCTCGACATATACCAAATTTTGTGTTACGTGAAGTCAATGGATGACGAAATACATGACTGGTGCAAACATGATAATCCTGACCTGCGTGTCATGTAAGAACATGACAACATACCACGCTCATAGTGTGCTCGTAGCCGTTTCGCTAGCTCCACATATACTAATTTGGTATCACGTGACGTCAATATCTGACGAAGACAAACGACACATCCGAACATGATAATCATGACACGGAAGTCATGTACGGCATCATTTACCTTCACCTTGTAACGTTGTGCTGAGTTTAAAGTTACATATCAACATTTCTCATTCGAGCTTCGCCTATCATTGATTCCCACTGTACATGGGATCTGCCAGTTTTTTTTCTATCTTTGTTGGGTATGTTTCTATCTCTTTCTCAGGGTATGTTTTTACATTTGTATCTGCTTTTCCTTTTCTCCCTCTCCGTACTCATTCTCTTGCCCATCAGAGTTATTTCATCTTATGTGAAAAAAAAATTCCGCCCATGTGCGTTGAGAGTGAAGAACTTGAAGATGATAGAGAGGACGAAGAGAGTGCGAGCCCAGTTCGCAATGCTGAGTTTTCTGGTGTCACCACATGGTGCAACAAAAAGATAAGCAGCTTCTCTGCAAAATGATGTAGATAGTATGAACCGAATAGTCCCACAAGCTATCACTAAGCATCCCACAGCTAACATGAAGCACATGAATCATACTGGTTTTCTTGAAACACGTACAGTTTATATAACCATGCTTAAACATCACCAAGAATCGTTGGTACTTTTTGCTTAGGGGCTACTCTGGTTCAACAATGACCATATTCACTCAGCCGAAATCTTTGACTTGCTATAAGTTAAGTCACAAAAACTGCATAGGGGATACCATGAAAAAAAAGGCGCTCCTCGACTTGTGTGCTTTCACCTAATAAAACTGTCCCAACACAGCATAAATAATGTTGTAGTATGCTCAATGAATGGATTTAGGGGCTTGGACATGGTAGCACGAGCCCTCTTAGGGAGCCACTGCTCAACCAATAGAAAGGCTCGTGCTGATTGCGCGATCAAACCAATGTCCGTGGTTTAAAATTTTAAAAACTAAGAAAATTACATTCTGGGCTTCTGTGTGCTAAAGCCAAGCTCTGACTAGAGACACAGCATAGTGAGGGACAGCAGGTCATCTGGATCATTGCATGTTCTTCGACTGGGCCTCTGCATGTACCCTGCGGAACACATTACGCTCTGTTTCGCAAAAGAAGAAAGGGCACCATGCCCTTCATTTTAGAAGATTCAACAAAGCCCCCCCCCCCCCCCCCCACCGCATGAGCGAAGGGAGACCTTGTTATCCAGCCCTTCCCTACCCTATCAACTGTGATGAGTAAAGGAGAGGCGCGACGGTGCACGAGGAGAGGAGAGTCACCAGAGTGCATGCGCACCAGCCACATAGACGCAAGAGATTGGTCAGAGAAAAGCTTGTAGCGCAAGACCTGGGGGGACAGAAAAATCCCAGAGGATGAGTTGGCACTGTGTGTTGGGGCTTCGAACGGTGAAGATAAAAGGTTTTACTGCCTCAATCGCTATACCCAGACGGAAGCGGTAGAACCGCCCTGTTCTGAGGCTGTCAGCGAAGAGGCTCGGGAAGTGGCTGTCAATATTGGAAGAACCAAGTCAGACTGCCTGGACTTGCCGCAACCTGTGACAGCAGTTCCTGGGTGGACTACAACTCCTCTGCTTCAATCCAGAAGGTATGCGGCCCGCACCACAGTCAAGGCGCCGTTGACGAGTTAGGCAGAGCCTAACTGAGCCCGAGAATACGACGAGGACCAGGATACTGGTGATGAGGACAAGCGGTTTGAGCAGAGGGAGCAACCGACAGCGACCGTAAAGAAGTAGAGCAGCCCATCAATGACGGAAGACTCGACGAAACGTCAACACAGCAGGGGGCAATGAGTTGCAACGCGACAAGCTATAAGGACATTTGATTGTTGACGCCATATCGGCTTAAGGCTAGCAGCTAGGGCTAGTAATGAATTGGAATTGAGCTACAGCCAGTTTGTGTATGTCCATGTATGCAAATCGTTATTAAGATATTTATACTTCCGAGTGTTATTGAGTGATCTAACGTTAGTTTTGTGTATTTGGGTCATCCGTCTTTTGTATAAAGTGTGTTTGTTTTGCCATGCCCATCTCCTGTCTGTCTAAAATCCATCCTACACAAGTGCTCCCGAGATAAGTTCGTGACACCAACTCAGCTCGGGACCCATATGTTCCCAGAAGCTGCTGGGAACATATGGGTCCCGTAACTCGGTAATTAAAAGTTGATTCATCAAAACAGAGAAGACAAACTATGTTAATTTTAGGCAATTCTGCTGTTGTGTGTGGCACATGTGAGTGGACAAGCAGAGTTGCCTTACAAAAAGGCCTCTTTCCAAACAGAGAAGCCTTTTGGTGGTGGGACACAGGCTGTCCCTTCAAGACACTACACAGATTAAAAATATATATATAGAAACCTACCACGTGAGATGTTCATACCTTAGCACTTCTTCCTACTTTAACCGTGCATATGTATTCAAGAAGCTAACTAAACAGGCTGTAGTGGTAAGAAAGTCTGTGTCAGTCTTCATTAGAATTGCCCCTCTTCCAAGAGAAAGCAACAGTCAATTATGCATGGACTAGTGACCGAGTATACTCACCTGTTGATAACAACCGTTTTGGTCTGCCCCACACGGTGAATACGATCAAATGCCTGTGCTTCCAGAGCAGGGTTCCTGGAAGGAATGCCAAATGTTTCGGTCACTGCCTGATGGTGTGTAGAAGTCCTCAACAGTCTAGCCTACAACACTTGACAACAATTTTCATTAATGCTAAGAGCCATTTTAGTATTTACAGTAATGGCCGATTTCGGCTCATGCATACCAGTCTGTACATCACTCATTCTCTTACCAATGCTGGTAATCTATTTTCCATTAATCGCTTCATAAAAATCTGCTGTTGAACAAGTTCAGTGATTCCATCAGACACTAAAGAATGAGAACAGATTGTGCACTTGTTTCGTTATTAGACACAACTTAATGAACATAGCAAAAAATGAACTTGTCAAGAGAAGCATCGGGGTGATTATTTGTGGTTGTAAGCTGCAGTATACTTATTGTCACATAAACGGAATAGAGCTACCTGCACCATAAGGGTCCCAAGCCACAGCCTTCAGATAACAAAACCGGTCACTAGATAATACTAGGCACTAGACTCTGAGAAGTACACACACATATTCTGCATGTGCATGTCTGTGCACATATACATTCCCACAAGTGTCACACATCTTCCAAGCAGTGCAGCACAGCTTTACATAATCGCCTTCAAAGACACACTAATAAAATATTAAGCTGCATGTTTACAGAAAAACAAACTCTACTTAACACGTTCACTGCAGCATGGGTTGCCAGTGAGTCATGGCTTGTGCTCCTCCTATGCCACCGCAATGTTACGAGCATGCATCTGCTTGCTGATGCCATAACATCATCACACATGAATGTAGAGGCATGATTCTTATTGCAAGTGGTTATAAATAATCAGAAGAAATTTCTTTTGGTGTTACATGCCATTACCCACTGGTGAGTCACGATGCACCTGGAAGACATGCCCAGTTGCCTAAAGGTGGATCACTCGCACATAAAATGAAACCTCAAGAAAGCTTGTCGCAGCGAATGTGTCAAGATAGTATTCATATAGAGAAGTACTCATGCAAAATTTTACACTTCAAGCAAATGTAACAATGTAATGCACACCATTTTCGGCATTCATTACCCTTTTTATTACAAACAAAGACCATTAGACTTTGCTCACACCATTATTAAAAGAACAGGGTAAGCCCTATACATACCATGTATTTTAGGCAGAGTTTATGTACAATGTGGGGGTGCTGACCCCCCTGTAAAGATGTTTGCGCTGCGTGACACACATGTCTTGCCAAAGCCGCATTTCGGGTGACAACCGCCGGCGATACATGGCGTTGTGTTCGCGTTGAGCACCGCTATCATCATCATGGTTGTTACAGTGGGAGCGCCGGCGGTGACCCCTGGCAGAAAGCAAGCCTTGGTGGCGGGAGAGAGTTGAGCGAGGCTCTTTGGCGCGTGGCGGTTGCCGCGAACGGTTGTCTCTAGCTTGGGTTCTCGACGCGTGGTACAGTGGCCTGCGCGCCAGGGGCCCTCGTGGTAAGTCAAGCGTTGGCGACGACTTCTTGGTTGTGTTATTGTGTGTTTGTCGTGTTATTGTGTTTGTCATAGAGGGTATGCTAATAATGTGTACGGATGTCTGAGCGTGTTGATAACGTTTCATGTATCGATTCAGCGGACGATATCGTCGTTGTAAATTAGTTAAATAAATGAATGTCGTTTGGTTTGTACCAACTGTGTCAACTGTGTCCGTTCACTCCAAGAGCGTGGCGTGGCGCTCGCTCGCCATTTCGAGACCCCACAACCTTTTTCTCCTTAACCGTGAAAGTTACAGTAATTACTTTACTATAATTGTGATTATAAGCCCTTTTTCTTCTTCTTACTCAAGCAGATTTAGCACTGGATCATCATCATCATCATCCTGACTACGTCCACTACGTCCCATCTTCTGCCAGTAAACTCGGTCCTGTGCTTGCTGCTGTTATTTTCAACCCACAAACTTCTTAATCTCATCTGCCCAACGAACTTTCTGTCTCTCCTTAACCCGCTTGCCTTCTCTGAGAAAACAGTTATAGTTATCCTTAATGACCAGAGGTTATCCTGTCTATGCGCTACAGTGCCCGGCCCATGTCCATTTCCTCTTCTTGATTTTAACTATGATAATCTTGAACCCCGATTTGTTCCCTGATAACTCTGCTCCCTTCTTAATTTTTTTTGCTTTGGGTAGCTAATTATCACTCAGTAATTGACAAAGAGCACTTTTTCATACAACAACAATACTACTTCAGTATATTCCCTATTATGAAATCTAAATACTGGCCAAAATCTATGTTTCTAGACATCGTAGTTGCTGAGATAAAGGAACAAAAGCACAAAAAAGCATTTGTTCAGATAATCACATATAGTGGGGCTGTCTACCGTCCTTCACTTCCTCTCTGTTTTGTTTTTTTGTCGCAATAAAAAGTATTATCTGAAGTGTCCAACCTTGAAGCCTCCAGAAAGTGTACAAAATTTTGAAACAGAATTTTTATATCTGTGTTTCGCCTAGTTCCATCAGTGGGATGAATGCCCACAACACTGGTTGGTGGAGGCGATGACAATTGTACTGTCGGTAAAGGTAAAAAACTGGAACTGCGTGCGGTTTCTGCAGGCTTCATCAAGTTTTGTTTATTGATAAAACAGATTCTTTATTGGTAGTTTAAAGCATCTTGAAAATGTTTTGTTCTTCTTATGAACGATGGTGGACGCCATGCTTGCGTTTCTCCACTGTTTGCAGGCAGGCATGCAAGCAAGCAAACACACCTTCGACAGTGCCAACGAGTGCTTTTTTGAACACGTGAGAAAAAAAAAAGGCAAAATTTGGTCTCTGGCACAACCAAAAGCTGCCTGAAGTGCATAAAATACAATTTCAAGTTATACATGTTTGTTTTCAAAATAAGTCTATCTGCGATGATTTCTAGTCCTATCAGTAGACTGACAAAATCACTGTTTGGTGACGCTAGGAGTCACTTTTTATTAATTTCCAACATCGCGTTAAAGTTATACAGTCGAATCTCAACAATTCGAACTCAAGGGGGCTCGAAAATTTATTTGAATTAATGAAAGCTAAGTAAACTGAGGGCTCCCCCATGCAGTGGCGCATGTGCATTGACATAAGACACGGGGGGGAAGTTTCAGAAGACTTACATTTATTCACAAATCACAGGACATTCATCATTAATTGAAGTAATCGGTGATGCGCGTCTGCACACGTTTGCCTTACAGCGAGTCAATGAATTTTGCACGCAGTTTGCAAAGCATGTATAATTCGGCTTCAGCATTTTCCTGGGAAGAGAAGTTGTGCGCGACAATGTCCATCGCTGACACGCGAGGACGACAACAACGACTGCATCGCCGCCACTACCCTCTGTGCGCCAAAGCCGCAGCGTGGCCAGCACGTGACAAGAAAGGAGGAGCGAACACTCCGTGGCAGCTTTTTTTTTTTTTTTTTTGCTCTCTTTGCACGTGTCCTTGAAAGAAGGGTTACGTAGCAGGGACGAGAAAGGGGGAAGCGTGGTACCAGCGCGTGAGGGAGAACCACACTCCGCGACAGCTTTTTTTTTTTCTCTCTCTCTCTCTCTTTGGGCGTGGCGTTGGAAAGAGAAGGGTCTTTACGTGGCGGGGGTGGGAAAGGTGGTGGTGGTAGTGGTTAGAAGAGGAAAAAAGGCACCTAATTTCAGCAGCTCGGTCGGGAGCACGGCGCAGTGCCTTGAAAAAGTAGAGAAGCGTGCACAGGCACGTCGCAAATCGGCATTTCAGAGAAAGCAAACATTCGACCGCAGCCTTTTCTTTCCTTTTCCTTTTCTTTGCGCTCAGCGTTGAGGTGTCGGAGGTGCCGCCGCGGGATTGGGCGGGGTGCTGAGAGCATTTTAGGAGCGCGGTATGTTCGAACTAACCATAAAAAGTGCTTGCGCGTTCGTATTACCGGGTGTTTTCGCCCACTGAACTACACACAGCTTTGTTGTGACCTCATCGTAAGTTCAAATTAACCGAAAGATTGAATTAAGCGTGTTCAAATTAATGAGATTCGACTGTTTTTCCTTTTTATGGGACAAAAGCATGCTCATTGCTGCCTATGTGATGAACGATCTTTTTATTTGCACCACAATCAGAAAAATTTTTCCGAGGTTGACAGTCCCTTTAAAGTTGAAAATGTGTATTATTTCAGAAGTACAATGAGATTACAGGCAAATTTATTAACCTGCTGCTTAGTTATGAAATGCTTAATGTACATTGTTTTTTACAATTCACGAGCCACTTTGTCTTTGCTTCTCCGCAAGATTCTCGTGCTGTTCAGTAGCAGTTCACACGAGCACTCCTTACAATGATACGGCAAATGCGAACCTGTGCCACTTCTCATTGACAGCACATGCTCTCTTAGGCGATCATTTATACATCGGCGTGACTGACCAATGTGCACCTTGCCACAACTGAGCAGGATCATGTACACAAGGTGTACATTGGCCAGTCTATAGCCTACTAACTATTCAAAGCTATTTAAATGCACCATTTGTCGTTTGTAGTATGCACATCCTGGAGGTGATTTATCACGACAGAGGCTTAACAATCATCTGCAAGAACGCAAAGGGTCCATGGGCACAATTTAAATCAGAGTTCTTCGATCATGCCATTTGCAAACTCCTCCCCATTGGCCCCACATATCAAAATACCAACTTTCCAATGCAGGGGTGGAACAGGTACATAGGTTTGGGAGTACTCCTGGAAGCAGGCAAAAGTGCTTATTGTAGCAGGCTTGGAAGCAGCCAGAAAAATATTTTGGAGCAGGCTTGGAGCAGCCAGAAGGGCCTTTTCGAACAAGTTTAGAGCAGTAAGAACATTCAGAGAAGATTTAGCCCTGTTTAAAGCACTTGTGAAGCATTATTGATTCATGCTGAATTTGACGAACTCACCTAAATTGCGCGATAACCTCATTATTGCAAAAGAACTTATTTCGACACCCTCAACGGGTTTTTCCATTGCAGTCATGTCCTGTGAAAATTCTAGACTGATAACATGACCCTGCACATAGCATGTTCACAGTTGAAAGCGCACGAGCAGGGGCGATTAAAACGAAGATCAAACGATCTGACTCATCTCCGCCACTCGGAGAGCGCGAGCGATAACATTCGATACCCCCGACGAAGCAGACAGGGAGCATTCCGCCTATCTTGGAAGAGCATAAAAAAAAAAAACGAGGAGGAGGGGGGGCAGGTGTCACTCGAGCAACTTTGCTTCTAAGGACGTAGTCGTGAACGCTGGCGCGCACGCTACCTCGGCAACCAACAGCGGGCGACTCGCATACACTTAAACGTGCTGCACTCTTACCGCGAAGAGACTTAGCGAAAAGTTTTGCTCTCGTTGAAGAGGTCATATTCTCGTACACCAGCGTTTTGTATAGCAACGTGAGATCGGATCCAAAATAGTTGGCTGCCACCCTCACTTCGTATAACGTTACAATTTACTGTTATCGCATTCATTGCTTCCCCCTTGCGGTGCAACTGGAACTTTAGTAATGAACAGCCACGCATGTTATTATTATTTTTTTTTACCTAGCCGTGCAAGTGTCAACCGTTGAGTCAAAAGGTGCGAAGCCGAGTGACCAAAAGAACGAGAATACGCGCATTAGTTTGATGAGCAGTCATGTGCACCTGTGATTGCTAGGCTGTACTGTTCCAAAAAACTGCAACAACCCACTTCTTTCGAGCTCCGTGATTGCCATTCTTTATTTCTTTTCCAAACACTGCCATCATGTTATACAAAAACAGTTTTGCCGGAACGCCGACGCAATGGACGCGATAGCAACAAATTGTAAGGCTGGCCACCAACTTTTTCAGATCCGATGTTGCGTAACTCTAAAAAGCATTGGTGTAAGAGAATACAGCTGCGCCAGGGAGAGATCCTCTTTTCGCAATCTCTTCGCGTTGACAACGCGGCCTGTAGAACAGTTAACGAGCTATTCGCACTGATGCCTACCGTGATCGCGCATGCATAGCGATAGCGACCACGCCCTTGGGATCAAAGTTCACGGCTGCTCCTGGAGAGATCACAGCCTTTACGAAACTAAAACTATAACCATTTGGATGAAACCAAAAAGACAATGTTTTAGTCACGTTTCCGGGTACGGCACTTGATGACTTTTGCACTTTGCGACTAAAATATGGTGCTGCGGCGCAGTACGGCGCTGATAGGCGAGTTTGGCGCAACAGGAGTGGTTCGGCACAAGATGGTTGGTGTAGGTAAGCAAGTTTGGCACGCAAAAGGTGCAGCTGTTGCCACCCCTGCCAATGGCTGAAATTGTGGGGTCTAGCTGATTATGGCGGGATCTGTTTACCAAAAATCTAACCAGTAAACCCTATACCTAACGTTGCACAGCCATATTTGAGAAAAGTTGGCCACTGAAGTAATATATGTATTCAAAAACTAACCACTTCACATTTGTTCTACTCACCAGTGCACGTCGAGGACAAACATGTGATTGCCCCCTACCAGGTTAAGGCCCACGCCACCAGCTTCGAGGGAGAGCAACATTACCTGCACACATGAGGGCCAGCATTGCCTACTTGACGGTCATTTCTGACTCTCGGACAGCCTGTAAAGGCCGGGATGTACAGAACAAACTTTCATCACCAACTTTGTGGTGTGTCAACAGAAAATGTGTCGAGCATAACAGGTGCACATTTACCCCTTCGCCTAAGTAAACTGATGAAACAAAACACAGTTGCGTAGCTTCAGAGATGAACATTACAGACGGGGCAAACTTTTACTGTCATACCGCCACAGCCAATCACTGTGCAGAACTGGTGGTAAGCTGGTTGCTTGCCGCTTTACAGTACTCCCTGATGATGCACTTTCCGGTATCTGTCCTCACAATGTTGTTAGAAAAACAGTGCAATGCATTTCCAACAAATAGTTCCCAACTAAATAAAGCAATCTGTGTAGTGATGTGGTGGTTTTTTTCAAGGCAGCAGACAGCATTAAACCACTTGAAAAATCAGGAGCTGTGATGAAAGGAAATTTTACGAAACCAACCACCTCATGGAGGGGGTTCACTTTGCTTCTGTACTCCCTCGAATATGAACGCACAAAATATAGAATCAGTGTAAATTGTGCTGACAAAAGCGCCCTGTGATGAGCTCGTGCCAAATTACAAACAGCATCTGGCTGGCTAAGCCTATCGTCCTTATTTGAGGCTGTCAGTGGTGCTGTTAGTGATGGTGTGCACTGCTGTGACACGATCGTCTGTCTCACAGGTACACTTTTATTTTATTGATTATACTTGAGTGAAATGAAGAAATGTTTTTTTTTGCTTCTCCTTTTTTTTTACTTCACAAGGACTCAAAATGTTCGAAGCACACATATTACTGGGCCACCAGACCTGGCTGTAGCCTATCGCTCTTTTCGGCACCCATGAGATATGTCCCGAAAAGCTGCACGCCGGAACATTCAGCCAGAGGACACCTACAGGCTACTAACATATTGTCATGTTCCTTCCTCAAATTTTCTGATCACCCCATTATTAGACAACTAACATATTGCCATGTTCCTTCCCCAAGTTTTCTTATCACCCGATTATGTTGTACGCAATTCTCAGCGCAAACCGCGCCTACAGTGTTCGAGAAGCTTCAGGACTGCACTAGACCATTTTGTTAAAGTTACGCCTACTTTGTGAACATTTCAGATTATTCTGGCAGCTATGTCACCGCTAGTGATAATGCTAGAATGTTTGATGGCAAGTGTATAAATGTTGACACGCTTCCGCCACTCGTCAGTTGATTGATGGCCGACGCTCTGCCCGCCGCTATCAGTGCCAGTGTCTTGCTGTAATCTGGCTTTTATTTTATGTGGCCACAAGTTTGGCCCAAAATAAACAGTTCATTAATTGACCTGCAGTCTGCTCCCTTCGTCCACGTCACGACCCCATGACAATATGGTGCTACACAAACGACCGGACACCATGTTGTATTGTGTGTTTTGTACATTCAGATAGCCACAGACACTCGCATCAACGTGATTACAGATGACGTGAGGTAAGTGCATGGAAGAACACTATGCACAGCAACCCGAAATCATGCTTCCTGGTTGACTGAGTATGTTGCTACCCGACAAATGCGTCTGGTAGCCACTTTCACTCGACAGAATATCTGGCGATTGGTGCCAGTGTCAATATTTCTTGCTGTCTGGCATCAGGTGCTTGCCGTTAGATGAAGTTCGTCATTAAGGGGAGACGCGGGTCGAAAAGTCGCGGTTTTCCGGAAAATTTTCGCTTTTTTTTTCCGGCTGTATTGGCATCCTTGGACTATAATCTATTACTTCTGAAAATATCAAGCTGAAATTCGCACGAGAAATTATCAAAAAATGCTTCCAAGTGGGCAGCGGTGACGCGAGAAATGCGCGAAAGTCGTGAAAAACGGCGAAGTTCGCGTCGTCCTGTCGCGAAAACGACGCGTTGGCCACCATTTGCAATCGTGCACGCATGCTGCGAAGGCCGTATCCTTCATAATCCACTAGTAGCCAGTCTCGTGCCTTCACGCAGAATAAACAAAAAACGAGAAAAACAACGCGTACGTCACGCGTTTTGAATATCGCGGCACACAGTGCGAGGCCGCCATTGGACGGCGGTGCGCTCCACGCTCCTCCCCCTCCTATCTCTCCGGCAAAAGAGCGAAGCCTCGGACGTCGCGATCGAGTTTTTCTGCGTTTCTCTGCATTTTTGCGTCATGGCAAGCCCGAAGAAGTGCAGTTCAGATAATCGAAAGTTCAGAACTCGCCACAAGTATCGAGGGAAACGGCGTCGGACGCTTCGCAAAGCGACAGCGAACGACGATGTCGCCCCCGACCAACGCCCCGACGCTCTGACTTTGGATAGGCCTAACACCGTCACCGAACCCTGCGACAGTGGTTGTGAAATAGCCGCTGCCGTGGAATTCGTCAGTGCATCCCAAAGAAAGATTGGATTCTTCGAGAGTGAACGTAGACCGGTAGATGCTGCTACTGCGAACATGCTGCTTTGCGAAATCGATGCGCTGACGGCACTTGTGGCGGGTGCGCAATGCCCAACCTGCCGCGAACGGAAGCTCGGCGTGCGAGAGGCAGCTGGAAAGCGCAAAGGACTTTCGGCATTCCTCGAACTGTGCTGTCAAAATTCTGATTGCCCTGAATCTGCACTTTCGTTCACGCACACGTCGAGACGTACTGCTTCGGCCGGGGACCAAGGAACGAGCGCTCGTTTTGACAGCGGCAGCTCGCGTGACAGCTTTGCTGTAAACGTGAAGGCAGTTCTGGCAGCACGCGCTATAGGCGCAGGCCACGACCAACTTTCACGATTTTGTGCGATTCTCGGTCTTCCGAGCCCGATGCATCACAAGACATTCAACGGCATTTGCAAGAAGCTCCATGGTGCGGCGATGACGGCAGTGAGCAAAAACTTGCACCAGGCACGAAACATCACGAAGGACGCAGTCGGCGGCAGAGATGTGCCAGTCATGTTTGATGGCACCTGGCAGAAAAGAGGTCATAAAAGCCACAATGGAGTGGGCACAGTCGTGTCCCTGGACACGGGGCTCTGCCTCGATTTTGAAGTTCTTTCGAACTACTGCCATGCTTGCAGTATACACAGGGACCTTGGGGAGGATGAAGAGATATGGCGAGCTTTTCATCTTCCAGTTTGCCAAAAAAACACTGACTGCTCATCCCATGCAATGGAACCTGCGGCAGCTGTCAATATATGGCAGAGGACCTTGTCTTATGAAACTCCACTGCGATTCGCCAGCTTCCTAAGTGATGGTGACAGCAAGGCCTACACTGCGGTCTGCGAGGCAAATGTATACTGTGACACCCCCATTGACAAAGAAGAGTGCACGAACCACGGTGCAAAGCGCTTGGGAACTGCCCTACGGAAATTGGCAACGCCACTGCCACGAGGCGAAAAACTGAAAGATGCGACAATAATAAAACTACAAACATATTACAAGATCGCCATCACGAGCAACAAGGACAGTGTCCGAAATATGTACACTGCCATATGGGCATCGTATTTTCATTGCTGCTCCAGTGATGGTGCCAGTAGCCACAACTTTTGCCCCGCGGGACCAAATTCGTGGTGCAAGCACAAGCGTGCGGAAGCACTGGGGGAGCCTGCACCACGCGACACCCCACTGTTGACGAAGGCTCAAGGATTGGCAATTATGCCTATCTACAAGCGCCTTACAGAGGAGAAACTCCTTATTCGGTGCCTTCATGGCAAGACACAGAATGCAGCCGAATCGCTGAACAGCAAGATATGGCTGCTATGTCCAAAAACAAAGTTCGCCTCCAGAACAACTGTGGAGACAGCCACCGCTCTTGCTGTACTCTGGTACAACAAAGGCCACAGGGGCTTTGAAGAAGTGCTCGAAGGCATTGGAATTCTCCCCTCACAAGATCTGGCCACACAAGGTGACCACTGTGACGTCATGCGCATCAGGAAAATGAACCTGAAGCAAACTGCAGAAGCGAGGGCACACCGTCGCAACACAGCGAAGAGAGCTCGTGTTGAGGACACTGACCGCAAGAGCCGTGAAGGACCAAGCTATGGTGCAGGGGACTTCTAGACACTTGCAGTGCATTCAAGGCAAGGTACTTTTCATTGTGCCCCAATTTGATGCAAAAAGAATGATTTCGTAATAAATGCCAACTTTGCGAACTTTCAAACTTGTTTTTCTCATTTTCATTTTTTCTGACAGTTTCACGTTTTCTTGGAAACTATTCATTGTATAGTAACGAAACTTGGCACACATATTCTTCAACACATGCAGAATGCAAATATCTACTCTAAATTGCAATGCCTACCAGCATTAGTTGTGAAAATATTAGCTTATTGTTTCAAGGGAGATTGAAAATAATAAGTCATTCAATACAATTTTTTTTTTCTTGGTTCCAATATTTCTGTGACATATCTATATAGATATTTGCACTTTTCAATCTACCAAGAGTCAAATAAGATCAGACACAGTGCTTTTACTGAAAGTTTAGTACATAAAAGAGTGCCCGCAAAAAATGTAACTTTTTGCTATTGTTTATGGCATAACTCAGTAATTATAGCAGCTACACAAAAAATGATTGCATATTTGAAATCTGCAGCCCCGCCGCGGTGGTCTAGTGGCTAAGGTACTCGGCTGCTGACCCGCAGGTCGCGGGTTCAAATCCCGGCTGCGGCGGCTGCATTTCCGAATGGAGGCGGAAATGTTGTAGGCCCGTGTACTCAGATTTGGGTGCACGTTAAAGAACCCCAGGTGGTCAAAATTTCCGGAGCCCTCCACTACGGCGTCTCTCATAATCATATGGTGGTTTTGGGACGTTAAACCCTACAAATCTATCTATTTGAAATCTGCATGAAAAACTATACTAATAACAAACTTTTCAAGTCTCTATTACTAGAAATAATAAAAAAACTTTTTCGAGGAGCGTCTCCCCTTAAACATTGGTTATTCGCTCCATTAATCCCACCCTTAACTCCTCTGTTTTCTCTGCCAATATGGACACACAGTGCTGGTCACAGGAGGCCATGAGCAGATTTAACAATCTGGGGTCTAGGGATGCATGCGTAAGCATGCCTTCCTTGCACCTTTCAGACAAAGAACTTTTGTTTTTGACGAGTCATGAAAAGGAGGGCGGTGTCTCAATTTAACAAACTTTAGTTGGAAGAAGGCGCTGTGTCTTCATCCCCTCGCCCGTTTGTTGTCTGCACTGCACCACATTATGATTGAAGATCTAACAACACTGTCATACCTCATTATATCGAATAATTGAATGTAACTAAGCTTAAATAAAAATATTTATGGCTAATGTAGCTTTGACACACCATTCATAACACACCATAACAAGCTCCTCCGATGTTGCCAAAACATGTCAAATAAGTGTCTCTGTCTTCCTTTTTGTAAACAAGCCTAATGCCACGTTCCTTTCCTCAAGGTTTGTCGTCACCCCGTTGAACTGTTCACCGCAAACCGCGCCTACGATGTTCGAGAGGCTTCAAGACTGTAGTGGATCATTTTGTTAAGATTACGCCCACTTCATGAACAATACAGATTATTCGAGACCCTACTGTCGCCGCTAGCGATAACGCTAGAATATTCTATGGAAAGGGTATAAATGCAGACACGCTTTGCCGCTTGTTAGTTGATCGGCGGCCGACACTCTGCTCACCGCTACCAGTGCCAGTGTCTCACTGTAATGTTAACTTTTCTTTTACGTGGCCACTAGTTCGGCCCAAAATAAACAGTTTATTATTCAACTTGCAGTCTGCTCCTTTCATGCACGTTACGACCCCCAGTGACAATATCAGGTGCAAAAAATATGCACTAGTAATGATAACGATGCAATTGCTGCGTACAAGAGCAATATATTCCCTGCTAGAGATACCACTCCTGCATATTAAAGAAGAAGATTTCTACATGTCCAGTTTTCTAAGTGATAAACCTCGCCACAAATCTATACCAGCTTGCCCAGAAAACCATTTTGCTTATTCCCCATGTTTTTATACAAGGGCACACCGCTCTTAGCCATTTTTTTGTTTATTTTTCAGTTATCTAGATCAAATCGCACAGGAATATGCAGTTTTTTCTGCTGATTTCAAATATTTAATTGGTTTTCCTGTTACTCATTTTATTACTGAGACAACTTAAGATCACCCCCATTGTTAAAGGCCACGAAACAAAAAAAGTGCTTAATTAAAGGTGATATTTAAGATTTGCCAACATAGCCTATGACTATAGATTGAAAGTATGCCAGAGTTTTTGTCTTTAGGCCTTTCTTGGTTATTTTACAGCAAAATGAACTAACCGTTTGCAAAAGCAATTGGAATTGTGTTACAATTTTTATGAGTAATTAATTAAAAAGGCTTGTACTCTAAATTGTGCTCCCATACTTGCGTTCTACTGCCATACAAGTTTCCATTGCAAAAAGAATTAATGTTGTACCTGCCCTAGCTGCGGAGATAATTGAGGCCTCATAATTGAACAGTCGTAAGTTAACTTTTTGCAAAATGGAAAAAACCGAAAACACACAGCTTCTTCAAAAAGCAAGAATCATGAATCATGGTGCGCATGTTATGAGCATCCTCATAAGGGTGCTCGAAAATTCGTAGCAGAGTTTCTAACACAGGTGCCGGAAATTTATAAAGAAGCCTCGAAGTTGGTTCACCATTTTTTTTTGCATGTTCTGCATGTTAACAACACCAAGAATCTGGACAGTTAAAATGACATTACAAAAAATTACCACTTCCTGGTATGTGAAAATTTGCAGAGAGATAGAAAATTACTTGCAGAAACCAAATATGTCAATTTTTAATAATGAATCTTTTTGTCACTTTTTGGTCCCAAAGACTAGTCTGACCCCTTAAAAGGCCACTTACCAGGTTTGACAATTTTAAGCTGACAAGCGCAATGCGTAGACGAGGCGTTCATGATCACGTCTGCCAAAATTCGCAACGCCACGCCCCCCGGAAATGGGATCAAATTACAGGATGAACGCTGCTTCCCCTGCCTTTTGCGGGCGCTCCCAGAGAATGAGGGCATGATGTGCGCGTATGAATGGCCCTAAATACACGGCAATGCAGTGACATTGGTCCTCTACGTAGACTCTGCTCTGACGTTGCAAACAGTAGCACGTGACATGGAGAGAAATGATTTAACACGGCATGCGTAATTTATGGAATTTATTGCGTGAAGGGATTAATAAAGCTCTAGATAAATAATGAGACGCAATAAGAGAACGTAAGCGTCTTTTTTCATTTTTCTCCCGTGAATTGCAATGAGACGTGGGGCTAATGTGTCAGGCGTTTCGCATGCGTTCGTGTACCAGGTGGTCAGCGCATCGAGCAGACGACCGCCGTGGAACGCTTCTACGCGTACGCGCACTCGTGCTCATCTATTCTACCGCATCTAAGCCAGCGTTTCCAAACCATCCTGCAGAAACAGGCAGAAAACCACTAAATAACGTTGGTCAACAAAGCAACGCCGCTCGTGTGTTCGGGGGTTGGACTTGTTTGGGCACGTCATACGCACGTGACCTCTTGGTCGGATGCCTGGGAGGGTGGAGAAAAGATTTGGCTTGCGAAGGCTATGCGGAGGAGCGACAAAGGTTTCAAGCTCGCCTCCTCTCATCCTCGTTTCGCGCTGTTTCAAAAAACCCATTTTCTCCGCTCGTGATGAACCGATTAAAGAAATTTTTTAGGCGAAATGTTCCTCATCGGGCACCCAACAACTTCACCTGTCTAACTAGAATTCGGTATGGGGCCTGGTGAGTGGCCCTTTAAAAAGCTCATGAACAACCCCTTCGGCTTGCCTAATTGATTGATATGTGATGTTTAACGTCCCGAAACCACCATATGATTATGAGAGACACCGTAGTGGAGGGCTCCGAAAATTTCGACCACTTGGGGTTCTTTAACGTGCACCCAAATCTGAGCACATGGGCCTACAACATTTCCGCCTCCATCGGAAATGCAGCCGCCGCAGCCGGGATTCGATCCCGCGACCTGCGGGTCAGCAGCCGAGTGTCTTAGCCACTAGACCACCGCAGCGGGGCTGGGCTTGGCTAAAGTGAAAGCAATCAAAAGCACGCGACAAATTCGTGTAACTATGCCCCTGCTTGATGGTTTCAAGAAACCTTTGCAGCAGTAGATTCGCGAGTCAATAAACCCTGTTAACAAAGTCAATTAATATTTGAAAAGTGGTTCTGGACTCTTTAATAATAAAGCTGTACGAGTGTATCATTAGTGTGGGTTAGCTTTTTTCCCAGATGTACCCAGTGTATCAGGCAATGCAATAACTCTATGTAAAATGAATTCATCCCAGGAAGGAGCTGCCAAACTTTTCTTCGACCTGTTCACCAGAAACTCTGGTGCAAAGTGTGCCATGTACTGATAAATCATGAATTTCGAAACAACTCGGGGACCAGATGAAGGGCACAACATATGTGGAACCTTTCTGGTTAGTTTACAATATCCAAGGCATAAAATTACACAGTGAGGACATGCTGCAACAGGACACCACGTGTGAAAATATGCCTTTCTCTTACTTCATTGACAAAATGCGCACAAAAGCCAGTGGATCTGCTCATTACTACTCCTTCAGAAAAAAATACTGGTATTCGTTATACAAGGACAGCATCAATGAGCTTACATGTTTGTTACCCAAGTGGGGCTGAGGTGCTTCACCTGCCATAACTCGCACTGGCATGTGACACTGCTTTGTGGCTCTACAGGGCTGCTGTTTCTGAGTTTTCAGCAAAATCAGGATTGCAAATTGCTCCACAGCATTCAAAATATTTTCATTAAGCACATTGATAAGGCTGCTCCTTCGAAATACCTAGTCAAATTTACATTAAGAAACACATCTAAGACGGAAATTCTTTGAATTCAGTAAAATTTTGAAATATCCAAGTTTGAGGTTAAAACGTTTTACTGTACATAGAACTTTGCCAGTACCAACTTTACACTTCAAATTACCCACCAGCTTGAATGATGACATTTCAATTTGTCAATAGTATGCTATACATCACAAAACAATTTCTCCATGGTGATAAATTGTTCTAGCTGCCCTTCTGCCTGCTTTGTCATTTTTACCTTGGAAAAAAAGGTTCGTTTACAGAATTTAGGTTAAGATCTTAAGCATGAAAATGCTTACAATTATGTTAAATGATACGGCAACCGTTAACTTCCAACACCTTCTTTCAAGGTATGGCGCTAAGGTCTTGTTCACAAAGGGCTAGAGTTACGTTGTTACGGCAACATAGCTTAAATAGCCGGTACATTGGTGACTCACTGTGGGTCCTTCTCGCTGATCGTTAAACTTGGCCACGTAGGAAGCCCTCTGGTGACCGGGGACGCTACCCTGGATGGTGACCGAGGGGATACCTCGCCGATCCAGGTGATGGCGCACCAGTGACAGGAGTGAAGTCCACCGAGACACCACCACACTGCAAAACGCACCAACATGTAGCACATGACATCAGACCATGCTAGTATGTAAGGAAACAGACTTCTTGAGTATCTTCTGACACACACTGCAAGAGGCAGACATTATTTGCTAAACAAACCTCCAAGTAATTTTAGCTAAAATTAAGGCAACTTAAATTAACAAAATTTGTAATTAATCACTACAGAGTAAATGATGAAATGTCAGAATTGAAGGCATGCGCTAACAAAATTAATATCTACATAGCCGAAATTTTGTGCTTTGCACCAGCTTTCAAAAACGTGTGCTCAAAATTCGTGGTGAGTGAATACTGAAGCACCGATATAAATGTTATTGCTTCTGAAACGGAATTTATTAGCGTAAGTAGTACTTGCACAGCAGGTCTATTGATGCGGAAAGCGGGCGGCAGCAACCGACACAGGAATCGCAGTGCTCGGGGCAATCACTCGCGCTACGCTCCTCTCGCTAAAGGTGTGACCCACTGCGGCACATAATCTTCTTCCTCTCTACAATACTCTTGCGACGAAGACGAGCCATTCTGGCAAGTCAAGGTGACGAGAGTAGGAGTGGGTCGTGAATAGTGCTTTAGACGACTGACGTGGACAGTCTCACGTGGACCAAGGCGTCGCCCGTCTGTGACCGGCGTGACCGGCTCGATCACGTATAATCTTCTTCCTCTCTACACTTTGTAAATTTCAGTCTTTGTAAAATCAGTTGGTAAGCTCCACAACCACGGTACTGTTGCATAACTAATTACACCTCAAAATAACAAAGTTGGTAAAACGTACAAGTAATTCTCAATCACTGAGCATAAAGATATCATTTGTTTCAAGTTACTGCAAAGCTGTCAGCTCTATAAAATCACAATGATGTTCTGTGATAAGGCTCGCTAGCGTGAGTCTTTGTTTTCTGTTGCACTGATGCATACTGGCGACCGAATTTAAGCAATGGGTCTTGCTCTATTTCTAATTTGGTGAGCAAAGTCACAAAAGAGCAAACCATCCCACCATAAATGGGGGTGCCGTAATACAGCTTTGCACCTAGTTTCCATGTGATTTCAGAGAGCAGCATTTTTGTTTGCATAGTGTGCAAAAGTTTTCAATTTTACATGGCCATTGGACTTAGTGCGGAGCATGTGATTCGATAGAACTCTTGTTGCACCACTTTAAGCAATACTACCTAAGGTTTAAGTGGCAAGTCACAGGGTGGCAGAATTGGCGTGATAGCTTTGCTATACTCTGCGACAACATTTTCTTTGCATTGAAGCGAAGGCTACAAAGCCAAATGGCGTGCATCCTACCGCCAGAGAATGTATTTCCACAACTGTGTCGGTATTTTCAACGTAAAATATAAAAAATTACTTCCTTATTTTTTACATAGAGTTACTTGAGACAGGACGCAGCACACACCAGCGAGATAGTTGTATTTATTTAACTTTTCACCTTGCCACCGAGTGTTTTGGATGCAAATGGATGTATTTTAGATGTTTTGGAAAGAGTGCATGGCTGCCTGAATCGGTGTGCGTGGCGGTGTTCAAAGAATCGGCGGCCGTGGTCGAAAATCGTTTTGTTGCGCCGGCGGGTTTGTGTGGCCTCACGAACTTTGATATTTCGCGATTCGTTTTGTGCAAATTAACAGCCGTTTTCGCGCTTCCGGACGCGCGCGAAAGGCATGCTGAATTGAGTGCGAAGTGAGAGAGAACAAGTCCTAAACACGAAACGAATCGCAAATTATCAGAGTCGGTGGGGTAGCGTACGCGCGTGCACTAGACGCAGGCTATCGGATACAGTTAGTGGCCAACGATGTTGGCAAATGGTCTTGTCACTCTAGGCCTGCGACGTCGACAGTACCAGCGATGGTAGATGGCCGACCGGTCTTCAAAAGATCGGTGGCAGTGTGAAAACACGGGCCTCGTCTGGCGATGCGGAATGCTCAGAGTAGCGAGGGGGGGGGGGGGGGACAAAGGACTGGAGGGGCGCGTAACTAACAAAAGCGGTCGGGGAGAGCGGCAACTAGAGCGGCGCGGAGGCAGAGTCGGCGTTTAATAATAAGAATGTATGGGCACCTCGCCGATGCCTGATCAATGGTCGAAATTGGTTTCCTGGGAAGTCGGCAGACCGCTGACTCCGTTCGCTGTAACCGATCAGCGGCGCTCGGAGACATTCGTTGTAAGTGCAATTTCGTGCCATTGAAGCTATGTAGATTTTCACGATCACGCGGATATTGTTCGTTTTAAGCGGAAGTTCGTTTTAAGTGGGGCTGTTATATGTGGGCTTGACTGTAATTGAAAATGTTTTTTACTTATTTTTTTTTCTGTGCTACTGAACCATCAGAATGTCTTTGCTGCACTCCCAGTGTAAAAATTAACCCTTCGCTGACTGCACACTGCACGAATAACCTTACAAGCAATAAAGACATCGGTCAGCAATATTATTGCACGTATAGGCACTGAGGTAAGCGTTACTATCAACGTTTGCAAGAAGCTTCAGCTCAAATGTACCAAGACATTTGCGAAAACGTCCCCAATGTATTATCAAACTGTTAGACCAGTGAAACAAGAAAAAATGCTGGAAATCACCTCTTATCTTGGTTGTTTGACTCTTCCCGCACCTTCAGAAGCATGTCGAGCAGAGTCTTGATCTGTAGGCACAGAGAGAAGCACAATCGCAATCACGGTTTTTAAATGTGGCTGCAAAGCGAGTCACTCAATAATAAAAAAAGTACAAAAATGATCAAGCAGCTGTCAGACAGGAGACTAGGAGCACGGATACTTGGGTGCATTTCTATGACATGAAGGAATAACTTCACAATGCTGAAAAACAAGGAAAGATAAAAAAGAGAAGACACCAAGTAGACTTGAAACTGAATTTATTACAAAAAAAGGACAGAAAAGAAAACCACATCAGATGGTGCACATGAGCACACACTTGCGCAGACGGCTCACAAAAACCACAAAGCGACGTGCAATGACAATGCTATTGCAAATCAGTTCGGCAAAAGTCCACAAGGTGGAGAAAGGTGGTCCAAAAAAAGAAAATGCAGTTGACAACCATTTTTTAGAGTTTTTGTTTTTCCAAGACAACAGCGTTCTAGTTCACAAAACTTCGAGCGGGAGATGCTGATAACATCAAGCTCCCCCCCTCCCTCTCGTTCTCAGGAGAGCTTTTTGCTGGAAATCTGTCTCACCAAATGAGTTTAGCTTCCAGCGCTCAGATTCTTTTTATTTATTTATTTATTTACTTATTTATTTATTCATTTATTTATTTCAGACAATCCATACACAGTTTGTCTGGGGGATTGGCGTAAAGGCAAAGAAAGCCTGACAAAGCGCCAACCCCCTGTGTGCACACATAAGCGGTTATACATAGCATTAAAAATTGAATGTATACAATGCCATAAAACATTACCAATCCCTTTCTGACATCAAGCCATTCGACAGAGAAATGTACATAACTGTGAATTAGCACATAAAGAAATAATGAGAGACTATTCATGCACAACGATGGCAGACAAAATAAAAATAATTAATAAAAAAACAGATAAGAGCAGCATATGCAAGTTACATAAAATAAGATGAATCGGAAGAGTTTTTAGGAGGAATGTGTGTATCTTCTTTTTGAAGACATAAATGGATGAACTTTGTTCAATTAATGTCATCACAGTGGGGTGTACATTAAGGAAGTAGGGAATTTGGTAAATTAGTTTTTGTGTACCGTAATTTGCACTAAGCGTGTCTTTGTTTAAGCTGATGTGTCGTAAATTATGAGTGTGGTTGTGCTCGTGAAACTTCCTAGAAAATTCAATTCGATTAGACTTAACTTCACGATATATGATCATTTGTAATTTTTAACATCGGATATTATAATGACTAGCAGTCTATGTTCAAAAAGAAAGGGCCGCGTGCAAATGAAAAAGGTAGCAGTTCTATTATTTGCAGAGCTCATTTTTGTAATAGATATAATTAGCTGAGGTTAGTTTTCGTCATCGTTCCCTATTTTAGAAAGCAATAGTGAAGGTGAAAATGTATTTTTGCGTAATAAATCGGTGCATCGTTACTTGAAAGGTGTGGCGCTCTTTCTGTCTCTTCTTGTTTTCCTTCGCTTTTGAACTTGCACCACGCCTTTAGAGTAGTGACAAATGAACACCTGTAGAAACACTGAATCATACAAGGAGGAAGGTACAGTAAACACGCGATGAGATGCAGCAATATAGTTAAACAGGAATATTAAAAATAAAGCTTTGTAAATATATGCAAAAAGATATTGTGAGGTCACACAGTTTGGCCCTGCCAGCAGACAGTAGGTGAATTCTGCTTTTGAGCAAGCTTCCCTTTGAAGAATATTACGCCCCTTGTGAACACGTGCGCCTCAATGTCAAACCTTTCTTCCACTTCAACAAGTAAGTTATGATGCCCTCTTTACCGAGTAATGTACTCAGCTGCATTGATTTGTGGGGTTTAACGTCCCAAAACCACCATTTGATTATGAGAGACGCCGTAGTGGAGGGCTCCGGAAATTTTGACCACCTGGGGTTCTTTAACGTGCACCCAAATCTGAGTACACGGGCTTACATTCGACAGAGAAATGTACATAACTGTGAATTAGCACATAAAGAAATAATGAGAGACTATTCATGCACAACGATGGCAGACAAAATAAAAATAATTAATAAAAAAACAGATAAGAGCAGCATATGCAAGTTACATATAATAAGATGAATCGGAAGAGTTTTTAGGAGGAATGTGTGTATCTTCTTTTTGAAGACATAAATGGATGAACTTTGTTCAATTAATGTCATCACAGTGGGGTGTACATTAAGGAAGTAGGGAATTTGGTAAATTAGTTTTTGTGTACCGTAATTTGCACAAAGCGTGTCTTTCTTTAAGCTGATGTGTCGTAAATTATGACTGTGGTTGTGCTCGTGAAACTTCCTAGAAAATTCAATTCGATTAGACTTAACTTCACGATATATGATCATTTGTAATTTTTAACATCGGATATTATAATGACTAGCAGTCTATGTTCAAAAAGAAAGGGCCGCGTGCAAATGAAAAAGGTAGCAGCTCTATTATTTGCAGAGCTCATTTTTGTAATAGATATAATTAGCTGAGGTTAGTTTTTGTCATCGTTCCCTATTTTAGAAAGCAATAGTGAAGGTGAAAATGTATTTTTGCGTAATAAATCTGTCTTTTTTAACCACACTGGTAATAAGTGGCACAACATGCATAGTATGCCAACTGCTCGAGAGATGTTTTTTTGCAAATAATTTATATGCACAGACCAATCTAAATATTCGCAAAAATATACACCAAAGAATTCAAAGAGGCGTAATGCACTAGCAGACACAAACCCTTATTTTCTTATCCCGAAGTGGTATAGCAGTGTAACTGCAGCAGCATGCCATTTTAGCATGCATTTCCCAGCAACCAAAACCTATTGCACATGACATGCTAGGTAGCCATAATAATCAGGAAGATTAAACTGCAGCAGAATGCACAGCTGTAATACAATTTTTAACAGAGGAAGCACATGTCCCAAGGCGAGATGCTCCGAAAATGTAAGCGGTTGACAAGATACAGAACACTGAAAGCTATTTAAGGGACACTAAAGTGAAAAAATTACTTGGTTTACCAAGGTCAAGGAACTGTACTCTGAGAACTTTAATGCCACAAGTTTCACTATCATAAGTTTCATATTACTGTAAAAAACCAAGGTTGAAGTTTCATTTCGAAATTTCACACTGAAACCTCCGCGTGTGATGTCGCTAATTTCAAAATGTATTTTTCGGACTTTCACCACAGAGCTGGATAATATTTTCTGAAACTTTGTATTTTAGATCTATGGCACCCCCAGACGACAATGTACGTAATTTTTCCCAATACGAAACTACGCAATACCCAGTAGATGCCAACAAAATCTATGACGTCACAGTGTTTGGTGAAGGAATCTCAAGGTGGCGTTTCTTCCTGCACATTATTTTCGGCCATTTTCTTGATACATACCAAACATCGTCTCGTGGTAAGAGCCGTGTTTTTGGGATTGTGAAACTGTAATTTACTTTTATGCAAAAAACTGCTTTAGATGGGAAGCAGTTCATGGTCAGGGCTTGTCTCTTGTTCGTCACTGTAGCCATGCTAGAACTTGGAGCGCCCAGTAGATGGCTCGGCGGTAGAGCCCTCGCTCCACTCCTGTGCGTGCTTTGGTATGAGTGGAGACCGCTAGCAGTGCTGTGCCGCTCTGTATGATAAAAGCACTAACTCCTCTCTCTTTCACGCACACAGCATAGTAGCGTGAATGAAAACATGAGCATGAGTGCCGCGGAGGTGAGGGCTCGCAAAGTGGCTTAGTGCTGAGCCATGAACGTCTACGTTGATGAATAAAGAGCATCTCTTTACAGAACTTCAGGCCGACCCATGGCTGCTTTAGATACTAGTCAGGGTTTCCTTTAGGAGCAGATTTGTGCAATTTTTTTTCTCTTTAGTATCCCTTTAAAGCTTGGGCATAGGCGGAAATTTTCGTATGGGAAGGGGGGAGGGGGCCTTTTTGATCTGCAGTGGGTGCTGGGCAGGCAGATATGGTTGAGTGCCAATTTTTCCCCATGACGACGATGCGCGTGCTGACTCAGTGTGCCATGCTGTGGCTGTGCCACTGCATTAAAGCTACTGGTAATACTGTCATATACAAATAGTAATAGGTCAGACATCAAATTGTAGCGATGCCGACCAACCAAACCCCGCCTAGCCACCTTCTAATATTATCTGGGGGTTTACGTCCCAAAACCACTGTCTGATTACGAACGATGCCGTCGTGGAGGGCATCGGAAATTTTGACCATCTGGTGCTCTTCAACGTGCACTGACATCTCACAGTGCACAGGTCTCTACCATTTAGCCTTCATTGAAGTCCAATCGCCACAGCCGGGGTCGCACACGCAACCTTTGGGTCAGCAGTGGAGCATCGTAGACACTGTTCCACCGAGGCATACTATGTACCCGCTTGTGTCTGCGTGTTCTCGTGATTTCTATTGTGTACCAAAACCACCATAGAAGTGCATGAGTGTATAATGAAGATAACTGACAGGTCATGAAATGAATAACATATTCACGACATGATCTGCCAACAAGCTGCAAATGACATACCTTGCAGCTGACGTAGGCAATATCAAATTCTTGTGCACTGGCGTACTTGTCTAGGTTCAGTGCATCCAGCCTGTCTTCATTTGCGGCCAAGTCATCCGACAGCTGGAGCCCAGCCATGCCTGCCGAGAGGAGCTCGTCTGTGTCTATGGCAGCATCCTCCAAGACTTTCTGCAATGTTCGTTTTTTGTTTATTTTTCATTACAGCACTGCCAGTCTGGATTTATAACTTTGGGCAGGGATGGGTAACAAGTCAGCAGAAACCTTCATAACGTATACGAAAAAAAGATACACTAAGCACATACAAGGCATTGCAGAAATGCACTTGAATAAGAAGATTTCAACAAATGCGACAAATGAAGCTTAACACTACGCTATGTTGGGCCATTTGGTGCATCGTTACTTGAAAGGTGTGGCGCTCTTTCTGTCTCTTCTTGTTTTCCTTGGTTTTTGAACTTGCACCACGCCTTTAGAGTAGTGACAAATGAACACCTGTAGAAACACTGAATCATACAAGGAGGAAGGTACAGTAAACACGCAATGAGATGCAGCAATATAGTTAAACAGGAATATTAAAAATAAAGCTTTGTAAATATATGCAAAAAGATATTGTGAGGTCACACAGTTTGGCCCTGCCAGCAGACAGTAGGTGAATTCTGCTTTTGAGCAAGCTTCCCTTTGAAGAATATTACGCCCCTTGTGAACACGTGCGCCTCAATGTCAAACCTTTCTTCCACTTCAACAAGTAAGTTATGATGCCCTCTTTACCGAGTAATGTACTCAGCTGCATTGATTTGTGGGGTTTAACGTCCCAAAACCACCATTTGATTATGAGAGACGCCGTAGTGGAGGGCTCCGGAAATTTTGACCACCTGGGGTTCTTTAACGTGCACCCAAATCTGAGTACACGGGCTTACAACATTTCTGCCTCCATCGGAAATGCAGCCGCCGCAGCCGGGAATCGAACCCGCGACCTGCGGGTCAGCAGCCGAGTACCTTAGCCACTAGACCACCGCGGCGGGGCTGTACTCAGCTGCAACACATTAACCTGTCCTCAGCAACTCATGTAATTAAAACTGGTTGAGACACCACCATTCTGTTTCAGCAACTGAAGCCAAAATCAAAATTAAATCAGACAATGGGGTTTAATCTCCCTAAAGAACTCGTGGGCTATGGAAACACACTATAATTAAGAGCACCAGTATACTCACAGTTACTGCATTTTTCTAAGTGCATGTCCTAACATTAGGTACACAAGGATCGCCCGTACATTTACTAATGAGGGCACAGTGCTGCTTGGATGCCTCCTCACCTTTTTGAGCAGAGCGGGATGAGAGCAGGCCTGCTGAAGCCGAATGAGCATGACGAAGCGTCGAGAGCCCACGTTGCGGTACAGCTCGCGCCCAGTCACGGGGTCTCTGTATTTCTCGGGCCCACTCGACCTGCAAGCGTTTACGAAAAAAGAGATGGGTACAGAAAGAGAGGAACGATCCAGGCTTACGACAAATAGCATTAACAAGTTCCAAACTGCCATTTTTTACAAGGTTCGGTGGAAGCACCAGGGAGTGCCACGCAAAAGTCACTTTTATTTGGTGAATCACACCAATAAGAACTGCAAATCCGAATCATAGTTTTTTTTTTTTGTTAGACACAACAGTAATCAGAATAGACAATTAATTCTGACTAGTCTTTTAGTTGTGATTACCAATGATAATGCCATTTTAGGACAAATAAAGTTCTCTCTCAATATCTGACAGCATGTGCCCTACGTGTCAGTGTATGAACAAGTGCGCAGGCACTTATGCCTGTTTATGTATCATAACCAAAAGGAGGGTCAATTGTGATACGCTGCTTTCATAGTTCTTATCATGTTCAGCTGCTACGACTACAAGCGACTCAACAGATATAGCACATAATAAACAGGTAGAACGAAAACTGATGCTCACATAGCATGTGCATGCACCGGTATTCCTTGTACCCATTATATTAAGCTGTATTTGTTTTGTAGTTGTTTACCAACACACCCAAGTTTCCACACTAAATTTCAGATGACATCAGCATTTTTAAAACTGCTGTGGCAGGAACAGAAAAGGATGACATTTATAGACACACAACCACAGCAGTGACAGGCAAGTGCCAGTCTCTTACAAAAAAATAGTCACGGCCTGCGCAGAACGTGCCGCACAGTCACAGTGAAAGCTGGAATAGCGGCTTTTAGAGCCTTTTCTAAACAATCATTGGGTAAGTGCTAAAAGTACACTTGCTGGGTACCCACTATTCCATAAATAATCATAATTTATGTTTAATAGGCTGGTATTTACTATGCTATCCTTCATATTCTTCGGAGAAACGCGATATCCACTGTGGAGGTGCTGACACCACCTGTAAAGTTGTTCGCGCTGCGTGGCACACCTGTCTCGCCCAAACGCCATATTTAAGGGGTGACTACTACAGGGCGGTAGGTGGCGTTGTGTTCGCTAGCGGTGATCACCACTATCATCATCATGGTTGGTAGAGTGGTAGCACCGGCGGTGACCCCTGGCAGAAGGCAAGCCTTGGTGGTGAGCGAGAAAGTTGAGCGAGTCTTTTTTGCGTGTGGCAGTTGCCACGAACGGTTATCTCTAGCGTGGGACCCCGGTGCGTGGCGCCGCGGGTTGCGCGTTGAGGGCCCCCGTGGTAAGTCAAGCGTTGGCGACGCCACCTTCGGTGTGTAATTGTTTTTGTCATGTTTTAGAGTGTATGGTAATAATGTGTAAGGATGTCCTAGCGTGTTGATCACGATCTATGTCATAATAATTTGGCTAACGATATCGTCGTTCTAAAATGTAGTTAAATAAATTTAAGTTGTTTGGTTTTGACCAATTGCGTCTACTGTGTCCTTTCACTCCAAGAGCGTGGCGCTCACTCGCCATTTCGAGACCCCACACTGGCGCCCAATGTGGGGCTCTTGGAATATCGGACGACAGTTTTTGCGGTTCGGTACAAGATCTTGTTAGAGCCAGGGTCAAGTAGGCCTAGAGGGACTTTGCTAGAGTCAGCGGTGTGCTTTGTTGAGAAACAAGGAGATCGGTTGTTGTGGCGTGTTTAAACTTGTTGGCACGTTGAGTTGTTTTGTTTTTTTTTCTGCTCGCAAGTGTTTTTTTGTTGTTATATGAACCGTACTGCCCACCTCTCTACCATTTAGAGCCTATGCACATCTTTTTTGTAGTGAAGATCCCAAACTACGCTCGCGTATTCAACTTTAGGCAGAACATAGGTTCTGTAGGCGAGCAGCTTTGCATCAGGGGGCGCATTTTTCAGTTTGTGCCTAAGTAAGCCAAGTTTTCGAATAGCTGGTCTACAGATGTATTCGATGTAAGTTTGTTAGAGATTGTTGGGAATAATAGAAGTGGCTAAGTGGCTATAACCAAACTTCACTGCCGGGTTAGAGCAAGTCGAGCGCTGTATCCTCTGTGTCTCTTCTGTAATGAGGAGGAAACAATTAGTCATTACTTGCTATCCTGTCACCGGTACATGTCATTAAAGAGAAGATTCGTAGCACCACCTTTTCGAAATCTGGGTCTGGAAATATCCAAATCAGTTGTTCTTCCTTTTGGCGCCTCTACTCTGGGCTACAGTCCCAGGGATGATTTCTACTGCCTGCCGCGGTGGTCTAGTGACTAAGGTACTCGGCTGCTGACCCACAGGTCGCGGGATTGAATCCCGGCCGGGCAGCTGCATTTTCGATGGAGGACGAAAATGCTGTAGGCCCATGTGCTCATCTTTGGGTGCACGTTATAGAACCCCAGGTGGTTGAAATTTCCGAAGCCCTCCACTACGGCGCCTCTCATAATCATATGGCGATTTTGGGACGTTAAACCCTACAAATCAAATCAATCAGGGAGGTTTTCTATGCCATAGAGGAATTTATCGAGTTGGTCTAAAAGAATATCAAGCTAAATTTTTTATCCTTTAAGTATTTCAATACTAATCTTCTGTACTTAAGTATGTTATATTAGCTATTGTAAGCTTATACAAGAAGTATTGCAAAAAATACTGAAAAAAAAAATCGCCTAATACTCGGCCAATCTCCTGCATTGGACATGATCCATAAGAGGAGGAGAAGAAAAAGAACATTGGACGACCCTCTCATAACCCAATACGCATTGTGTGACGCCTGGTTGTTCTTTTGCTGTTATAAAATGCTTCATTACTGATGTTAACACGATTCATTCGCCAACATCAAGCCTGCCCCAAGGCAAGTTTGCAAACGCGTCCCAAGCATCACCTTGGCTCAGCAGTTAAGTACCGGGCTGGCACGCACTGGACCCGGGTTCGAATCCTACTATGTTTTTTATTTTTTATTATTTTGTGCGATAGCGGTTACAGACACTGGCAGCTGACAACTATGACGCCGCAAGTGACCCGTGTTGTTATCTCGATAACAGCTTTCGCTGTAAAAAAAATTTAAAAAATACAACAAGCAACACATTGCAAACATGCAGAAATTACCTAGACCACTCGTCCAACTCCTTGTACACTTTAGCCTCAGTTCCCTCAAGAGAAAGTTTGTGGAGGATGATGCTTTTTTGAGGCAGTGGCACCTGCAAATCGGTCCAAAGAAATTTACAGATTTAGTAGACAAACTACTTTTTCCAATTTATTAAGAAATGGCAAGGCACTTGTACGGTATTGTGACACTAAAGAATGCTCAGCCCTAGCCTCTAACTCAAGCAAGTCTGCTAATGCTTCCACCCTCGAGCAATGCACCACAGCTTTTATGTGAACCACTTGTCCTCATGGCCTGTCGTGTACACCAAGCAGCAAGACATGTACACCAAGCAGCCATCTGAGCTATCCAAGAATCAAATTTTGTGACCAGATGAGTATGTTAGCATTCACTGGAGAATCCACAGTGTCAACAAAATGAAAGCACAAAAATAAGTGCAGTCGAGGAAAGTCACTGAAAGACTTTTCAGACCTCCTCAATTATCCCAACTTCCCCATGACACCACTACCAATTGCAGAGTAGGTATCCAGAACGGCAACTGAAACTGCACACTGTAAGGTACATTTTTCAATTAGTAGCTAGGTCCTTGTGCAATGCTGCAAACATGGCTTTCACAAACCGGCTCACTGCCATTTTACCAATGCCTTTTACTTACTCCCTTTGCTTGTGTTGTCAGCATGATGCCTCTGCTTTCAATATGAGGCAACTGCTTTGTTGATCTACCACCAACTTCAGTTTGCTGCAGCCGCTATCACCCAGAATAGTTTCCTAATAATACATTAAAGGAAAATTTGGCACTAGTGTCTATGGTAGCTGCAATGCATGACACTACAGCCAACACGGGAATCATGGGTAGTACACGGATTTGCCTAAAATTCGTCCTTTCGGCTCCGTGTGGCTCCGCGTTGCTGGAGCCGCTTTCTCGCAAAACTAAGTTAAGCGAATAATCAGCCGTTCCGTTTCACCACCCTGACCTTCTAGGCTCATCAATTCCAATCAACTCACAAAGTTTACAACAATCCATTCTCCTATTCGAAACAAATGCCAAAACACAACTATAGACAAAGCCACAAGTGCATTAAAAGCTGCAAGCACAAAGATTAGGCAAATGTGTGCACTATCGATCAAACCATGACGGCTGATAGAGCTGTGCACCGCTGTGCCGCACTGCCTCCGCCACCGCGTTTTTTCACTCACGCCGTTCGCGCCGCCGCCGAAGTTCCGAGAGAGATCTCGCCGCCGCCACCGCCACAAAATAATTTGCGGCGCGCCGCCGTTTGTCTTATTTTTACATTAGCTAGAAATCTGGGCATAAAATACATTACTTCACCTTCTTTTCCGCAGCTTTAAAATTTCTGAGAACGGCATTTGTGGTGTCTTGACTGCTCTCTAGTTTCCGCGTATGCGTGCCCTGTCTATATAAAGGCCCTAAAGCAGCTTGTGAAGATACACAGTCGAGCGTGTTGTTCTCTCTTGGCATTTCTCGTTCTTTTAACGCCTTTCAAAACGCACGAACAGTGATTCACGTGACATGACTAGGACACATACTCTAGAATAGTCCACATACGATAAATATCAGTTGTAAATTGTTTACTACTCTGCTTTGTCATGCATTTGCCACCCGCCGCCACCGTTCTTTCTCGGGTCTTGCAGGATTATCTTGCGCGATGAACTTGTGATTTCACTGCATTTGGTGTTTTCAATTGCGAAAGTGGAAATAAGAGTGTAGCCTGAGAAGTTTGAAATGCTGATAGGCTCAACGCTTTTTGCTCACAATGCACACATGCTTTATGAAGACATAAATGTCGAAGAGCTTGTAGTATAGAGAGTGTAGTGCAGTGTAATCGAGAATGAAACCAAAGGAAAAGGCTCCGAATCATTCATTCTTCTAACGAACAAATTTTTTACAGCGAAGAGAACGCAGCTCTCCATAACAAAGGCCAGCCTGCTTCGACGTTTTTTGTATATTTTTTATTGCAAGATGAATTATATCGACACTCTCTACAGGCTCTCATCATCTCTGTCATGTTGCACATAAAGCCCAAATAAATTACTTTTGTACCCACACTGTATGCTGTTCACATGACTAAAATCTTACAAGGGCTATACTGAGTAACACTGTTGAAGCATAGATGGAACAAGCTGCCCATCTCCATCTCATTGAGGGTGCATGCGTTGACATAATTCCGTGTGCAATGCCTGCTGTCAACTGCTCCTCAACCGGAAAGGAAGTGTTGTCTGTCCTATTGCTGGGCAAAGAAGTATGAAAAGATGCTGCGTGGCTCGATCCACAACAGTGAACTTTGAATATAAGGAGCATGGCCATGAGTGTTAGCACACGCTAGCGCGTTATTTCAGCAGGCATCAGCGAACAGCTCATTTATCCTTATACAAGCTATGATATCACAGTCCGAGCCCTGCTTTTTTTTTTTTTTTTCAAAGCAGTCGTATTCCTATACACTAGTGATTTACAGTTTTGCTAGATCAGATTAAAAAGAGTTAGCTGCAGCATAAGTTCATTATAGGGCTGCAAGCCCCTATCGCACGGTGTAAAATGTCAAGTCGTCGAGGGGTTTTCTGACCATAATACTGTTGAAGTTGCCTCAAACTTAGCGTGTTCTTTTTGGAAACCTCAGATCAAAACCGATTTGAACTTTCTTGATTACACTTTCGTGCTAGACATTTTCACCTCATCTTTTGAAGAATTTGAATGTTGGCTAATTTCGCAATTTAGATGCGCTCCTTCTTAAGTTTGTAATAATGGCTACCAAAGTATTGGCCACAAAAATATATTAAACGGAACCCAATACACCCATGCTACCATTGAGATGTAATCCACCTCCTTCGACGCATAATGCGTTTATGGAACAATCGTCATTCGAAGTGTAATGATAATGCTCTTTGAGTTAATGCATTGAAAAGCAAATAGAAGCTAAAATCAAGAGTCTAAGAAGTAAGAACTACTACTTTAGCAATGCCTTCGCTACTCTTATAAAAAAATCCATCCAGGTTCTAGAGGTCGATTAGTCCTCGATCGTCTATGCCCTCATTGTTTATTCTTTATGGCCAATCCTCCTCAAATCCTGAAGCTATAATAAATACCTTTAATGATTACTTCAAATCTGTTTGTTTTTTTTCTACCGATAACAGCATAATGCCTTCATTTTCCACGTGCAGCAAACTACCCACCCTACCTAATTTTGAATTGAGCTCCTCTGAGTGCATAGCCTAATAATATTTTTAATGTTGCAAAACACTCTGGCCCAGACAGTATGCCAAATATATTTCTAAAGTAGTACTCAGTATACTCAGTATAGTGTGATAATTATTTTACCGTAATACTTGAAAAAGTAAATTTCTGTCACAACTCCCCAACTGCAGAAATTAGCAAACGCCGTGCCTCTAAGTTCAGAAACAAGCAAATACCAAATTATAGGCTCATATCTATGTTTTTATACGATCTCCACACCCTTTGGCCTTTTATACGAGCATTTGATCAACAAATACTCTGTAGAATATTTAAACGCACACAACATATTTTTCAGATCACAGTGTGGCTATTGTACTGGCTATAAAGTTGCTTGAATTTACGCACAACATTGTTGCCTTTATTAACAACCAAAGACATATTTATGCCATATTTAGTGACTATTCTAAGGATTTTGACATAGCTTGCCAAGCCAAACTTCTAGCTTCTTCACAAATATTTTGGCCACAACATGCAACCACACTCAGAATTTTTTCAAGTTTGACCATGCGAAGTCATCCCACATACAGATCGAATAAGAGGTGCCTCGAGGCTCAGTGCATGGACCGCTTCTCTTTATTATTTACAAAAATGACGTAGCCGAGATTATGAGTAACACCCAAATTAAACTCGAAATGTCTGCAGATGACTGCGTTATCTGTAAAATCTAGGCTTGTGCGAATAGTGAATTTTAGGTTCGAATCCAATTCTAAGCGCATAGTGATTTTGATCGAATAATTTCAAATCAAATTCGAATGGCATGTATGACATATAAAAAAAAAGGTATATTTATGATGACCTAACTGACCTGCACAATATTTCTTTTGAATTGAAATAGGGACTCTATGCAAATGCAATTTTTTTTTTTTTCATTCAAAGGAAGTCGAAACAACCCCGAGCAGCAGTTTTGGTAAGATGTGAGTGATAACCTGTAAAATACTTTACGTTTTAAAATTTATTACACTTGGAGCATATAATCCATCATAACAAGCCTAATAAAATGAAGAATTGATTTGGGGATAACATGTTACTTTAAAGGGGCCCTGCAACACTTTTTCAAGTAGCCATGAAGCCAGTAAACTTGCTTGTTGCCTCACAAATTTACCGCCGCAAAGTTTCTAGAATTAGTCCAGTACGAGCGGAGCGCCAAAAATTTGCCCCACGCTGCAATTGCATTTTCTCTTCTCGTCCCGACGCAATAGCTGAAAGTTAAGCAGGGAGGAATGTCATGGCGAAAGAAAATATGTCACACGCACCTCATAACCTTGAGCCCCTCTTTTTTTTTAATACGCGGCTTTTCAGTGTGATTGCGCACGTACTCGTGAACAAGCGGCAGCCCCGGTAACGACGATCGCGCCATGCTCAAATCAGCCAATGGCTGTGACAAGTGATTTTTGAGCTTGCAGTGTCATTTGCCAAGAGAAGAAAGCAATCTTCAGCTTTGAAAATTTATTGTGAATAACAGGCCGCGTGCTGCGCTGTAATATTTCCCTCGCGTGTTTTCGGTAGCCTCGACTACCGATCAGCAGCGTTTTCTGACCATGCTCAATAAATGTTGCAGGGCCCCTTTAAATTTGAAGAGGGGCTTTTCGGCAAAGCGAATTCCCCCTGTATAACTACCTTCACAGACAGTGACACGCACATTAATATACATCTATTTGTTCATTGCGAATACTTCAAAAATATTCCATAATTTAAATTCGCATCGAAGCGAATTCAAATACTCAACTATTTGTTCGGATATTGAAAGCATTCGAATATTTGCACAAGCCTAGTAAAATCATCTTAAGATGCACCGATTACAGCTTTTTTTTTTTTTTGTCATTTTGCAATAGGAGGGAAGCATG